AGTGCCACCTTCCCCTTCCTAGTGCCACCTTCCCCTGCCCAGTGCCACCTTCCCCTGCCTAGTGCCACCTTCCCCTGCCCAGTGCCGCCTTGCCCTGCTGGTGCCACATTTCTGTGCTTCCTGTTGGGGACCAGGCTGTTTCAAATGGCCCCGGTGCCGGAAGCCTGAGATGTGCCCACAGAGAAGGCTCGTGTGTCGGTAGCTTCGTTGAGGTGTGAGCTCGGTGTCAGCGAGTCAGCAGACGAATCAGTGCCTTAAACAGAAGTCAGACCTTGAAGAGATGCTGAGGGCATGCCCTTCCGGAAATAGAGTTAGCGTTTTCCCACTTGTTCTTGCCTGAGACCACCTGCCTCCCAAGACACGGAGATTAGACTTCAAAGCAGCTGGAGGTCAGTAACGACCATATTGAGATGCTGCTGGGGCTGTGGTCTTCCTCTGCCCCCTCGGCCGCCCCTCCCCCGACAGCGGGCCTGGGGTGCCTCCTGCCAGCTCTGTCACGTGCTGGCTTCCGCCCGCAGTGTGCTCTCGGTCAGCAGACAAGGATGGGTGGAGGCCGATGGCGTAAGGCTGGTCTTGTGGTTTTACAGATAAAGGGGGTGACGTGCACTTTGTGAGCAGAGGAGGGAAGGAAGCAGGAGGGGAGGGGGGTGGGTGCCTGTGTATCCGAGGGGAGGCGGGCGTCCTCGGCCACAGCCCCGCGCTCCCTGCCCAGAACGGCCTTCGTGATGCCCTGTCACTGCAGGTGCCGCCTCTCCTGCCAGTGAGGCGGAGCCTAACGCCTCCTGTCCTTGGTTTAGTGGCGCACACAACCCAGGGGCTCGTGCACCCCCACACGGGAATGTTGTGTTCCCCAAGTTCCGGCCACAGGAATTCAACTGACAACGAGCGCTGGACTGGTGCTCTCCTGTAATCCGCTTCAAGACCGGACTTGCCTGATCGCCGTCGCTGCCGCCCGCAAGCCGCGTAGACCTGTTTGATCTTCCGACGTTTCCCTCGTGACCCAGGATGGTCACGCGGTGGGATGATGGGGTTTACGCGGAGCAGGCGGCACACCTACGTGGTTACTCTGTGATTACCGGGGCGCACAGCAAGCGGGTTCCCGGGCGCTGTCCTCCTGGAGAATGAGTCTCAGTTCACAGGCCATAAAGTGTGCAGAGGTGAAACTCGTAAACCGGCCAGCACCGCCAGCTGGCTCCCACACAGGAGCGTGGTGGGCGCGGCCAGAGAGCCACGGGCTCCGGAGCTGGGCTCCACAGAATAGCTGGGATTCAGAGAGAAAAAGAGAAACGACTTTAACATTTGTTTTTACTACAGTGACACATAGTTTAAAAGGCTGTACACCACACAAAAATATACATAAGTACTTGGCCAGCGGCTCAGTGGTTGAGTGTCAACCTATGAACCAGGAGGTCAGGGTTCGATTCCTGATCGGGGCACAAGCCCGGGTTGTGGGCTCGATCCCCATGGGGGGCGTGCAGGAGGCAGCCGATCAATGATTCTTTCTTTTCTTTTTAAAAGATTGTACCTTATTAGCATGGTACTTGCATCTTTTTTTAAAGAATATATTTTATTGATTTTTTTACAGAGAGCAAGGGAGAGGGATGGAGAGCTAGAAACATCGATGAGAGAGAAACATGGATCAGCTGCCTCCTGCACACCCCCCACTGGGGATGTGCCTGCAACTAAGGTACATGCCCTTGACCGGAATCGAACCTGGGACCTTTCAGTCCACAGGCCGACTCTCTATCCACCGAGCCAAACCGGTTAGGGCTCAATGATTCTTTCTTATCATTGATGTTTCTCTCCCTCTCCCTTCCTCTCCTCTCTGAAATCAATAAAAATGTATTTTATATGAGTGCTTATTGCAGCATTATTCACAATAGCCAAACGTCCATCAGCTGGTGACCGCCGGGGGCTGGAGGGTGTGGACAGCGGGGAGTGCCTGCCTGCCAGTGGGTACGGATGGCTTTTGGGGTGATAAAACATTAGTGTCTTGGGGAGGGGTATGTGGGGTCTGTGTTCTGGGCTAGCACATTAGAAAACGTTTAGTCTGTTCTCAACACTTTCTCTGGGATTGGTATGAGGCTCTCCCAATAAAGTTCCCTTCTATTTGGCAGCCTGTTTTGCTTACCATGATGTCCGTGAGGTTTATCTGACCTTGTCTCATGTAGCTGTCGCCTGTCATCTGCACCAGAGTGCACTGTCTCATTGTGTGAATGCGCCACAATAAACAAAGTTGGTTCCACTTCTGAGGGGCATTTCGGTGGTTTCCAGTTTGGGGTGATTGCTACAGAGACTGCCGTGACCACTCACACCCACACTTCCTGGTGTTCTCGGGCCGGATATGCGTCCAGCGGCATTTAGAGAAAGGCCGTCTGCGATTTCCCCCGGTCTGTCCTAGGGCAAGTGTTCATGCCCGTGTAGGGCTGGTTCTGAGTTCTGGGTTCTGCTCTGTCAGCCTGTCCCAGGCCAGCACCACACTGTTACATGCCTACAGCGAGCACGGCCTGCTGGGTGTGACTTGCAGTGGCATTGAGTCCGTGGGCCCCGGGGCACCCTGACATGGTTAGTGTCCTGGGTCAAAGCACGTTCTCTCTCCATTCCTGAGGCCTCTCTAGTCTCCATACCTCTCATCCTTTTCTCCCAGGAGCCTGCGCATTGCTGGCCTTGACTCAGGGCGCTGTAGGTAACGTGGGGTGTTAACTGCTGCCATGCATTCGCCTTGTGCATGGACTCTGTGCCCAGCAGCCCGTTACAGCTCTGCGACGGCTTCTAACAGGTTGGCTCAGGTGCTTTCCCTCCGGCGGGACCAGCTGTGACAGCGATGGTGTCACGCTTCCCCTCCCAGGCCCCCCGCCCCCGCCTGCCCCAGTGAGTGGCGTGGCAAGGGCTCGAGGGCTTTGGGGCCAGGACCCTGGTGAGGAAGCTGGGCTCTCTGGGTCCGCTGGATCGAGGCCTTTCTCCCCGATCTGGAAGGAAAGCCCCAGCATCCCCCGCAGTGGGGTTCACTGTGAGGTGTTTGGAGTCTCTCATGCAGGGAAGGTGGCCTTTCCATTTGGCCAGCAAGGTTTTGTCACGAATGACGTTCAGCTCCTTCAGAACTTGCGCAGGTGTTCTCTGTGACGCTGGGCATGACAGGATTGCCAGGAGGAGCGGGATGCTGGGCGGGATGTGTTCAGGGGAGAGGGAGGGGGGCGGGGCCTGGAGGGCAGACATCACTGCGAGGGCAGAGGTCAGGCCGCGTGGATGGCCGGGCTCTGGTGGGCGTCGGGAGCCAGGCCGTGCTGGGGGCCCAGGGCCAGGTGCCACACCACTCTGTCCGGAAGCGCCCAGCTCCCCAGATGGCGCCACGCCCCCGAGGCTGGCCCTGCTTCCTGAGCTCCCAGCCCGCCATCAGATGTCACTCTCTTCCTGAGTCCTTCCTCTAAGAGCTTGGGCCCCGCCTCCAGTCCTGGTCCACATCCCGCGGGTGCGTGACGGCCGCCTCCTGGTCCAGGGCCTGCGGCTCTCCGGCACCCAGCTGCCACGTCACAGCCGACAGGCGGTTAAACGGAACCCACAGTCAGACGGGGTCCCTTTATCTAGGGACAAAGGCGGAGTGAGCAGCTCGTGCATCTCGGAAACACTGTGCGGTGTGTGCGCAGCTGGAAGTGGAGGCCGGCATCCCAGTGCGTGGCCTCTGCTGGGTGAGAGTGAGGGACGCAGGGGACCCGGCAACGAGACTGGCTCCGGAGATGGCACGGCTGGAAGGGGGAGGCGCAGTGCCCGGCCTCGGGGCCCCCAGCCCAGACCTCCCTGGGGATGGCCTTGGGCTCTGACCTCGTAGACGCTGCATGTGGCGGGACCCGGACGTGGGAGGTTCCGAGAGAAGGAGTGGGAGGTTGGAGCAGCTCAGACTGTGAGAAAGGAGGAGGCTTTCTGGTTTTTCTGGGTTTGGGGGCGGTGAGGGGCCCGATTTTATGTTCTCAGTGATGCCTGCCCAGACCCCCATATTGAGTGCTTTCGTAACCTCCCTCCCCCACACACACTCTGCAGTTCCTGGGGCCGGTGCCTCTACCACCAGCTGTGATGCTGCCTGGGGCTGCCTGGGGCTCTTACTGTTCCTACTGAGGAGCCGAGAGTAGGGACGAAGGCAAACCAGCTTTAGTTGCAACAAAAGCTTCTGAGAAATAAGTTTCAGGGTGTGGCCTGTGTTCCAGGGAGAGCGTGACTTCTCTCCTCCGTGTGTCCGTCCGTCCAAGGCAGTTCGGTGCCTGGGCAAGGACGGCTCATGGTGAGCCTGCGCACAGCCTCCAGCCGCCAGCAGAGGGCAGCATGGATCGAGTCCGCCACATCCACTGTGACTTTTACTATAACGGGCATTTGAAAGGCTGCAGCCACTGCTGGCAGGTGCAGCGGGAAGTCATCACAGCCGGAGCTTCCTCCTCATCAGTGACATCAGTGATGCCAGTGACGCAGGCTGTTGCGTCTGTCTTTGTGGAGAAAGGCGTGTTTAGCGCTGTGACTCACATTCAGACTTTCTAAAGGATGCACGACCCGTTTCCAGGTGTCCCCGGGGGCGGTGGTGATGGTGCTGGTGCTGGTGACTGCCGAGTGCGGTCCTGTCGGGCTTCGTTCCATCACCTGAGGAAGCGGGCTGTCACTTAAGCAGGGTTCCCTGGGGACAGTGACCCCACCCATTCAGGACTGAGGTTGCACCGACGCAGAACCAGTGTGCGCTGGGGGGTGGGAGGGGCGGAGTGTTCGTGGAGAGTGTGGTCAGCCCCTGTGAAGAGAGTTGCATCTTCATTCCTTTTTTTTTTTTTGAAAAGCTAATGACTATTCTTGGAAATTCAAATTGTGTACATAAAATAAACAAAGGGCATGGTTTGGGGTTCTGATTTTTATATTGAATTGATTTTGACTTTTTAAAAAATATATTTTATTGATTTTTTACAGAAAGGAAGGGAGAGGGATAGAGAGTTAGAAACATTGATGAGAGAGAAACATCGATCAGCTGCCTCCTGCACACTCCCTACTGGGTATGTGCCCCAACCAAGGCACATGCCCTTGACCGGAATAAAACCTGAGACCCTTGAGTCCGCAGGCCGACGCTCTATCCACTGAGCTAAACCAGTTAGGGCTGATTTTGACTTTTTGTTTTGATGATGAAAGTGGCAAAAACTGCCCCACACAAAGGTGTGCCCTGGCGACGTGATCAGTGCCATCGCCGGCGGTGCCAGGTGCAGGCAGGGGCTATGCCAGGGATTCTCCATTTGAATTCTTTGTGACACAAGATGTTTCTTTGTCCTGGAGTTTTTTCCCACACCCCACTCGATGCTGGCCATGTCTGTGAGGGCATGCACAGTCCACGTTTCTCAGGTCACCCAGGTAGAAGGAGCCTCCAGGCGAGTTTGCAGTATCCCAGGCACCTGTGGATCTGAGGGATCAGGGGCCACCCTCCTGGGGGCTCATCCTCGCCGCTGCTCACCTCCCAAAGGCTCCCCTCCAAACACCATCTCGTGGGGGAGGTCAGCATATGGATTTTGGGGGAACACAAGCATTCAGTCCATTGCAAGGATATTTCCTAGAAAGCAGCTCAGAAAGGAGATAAAAGTAAGAATGAAAAGGTAAGAAAAATGAAATGATCCACATTGGCGGTCTAAGTTCTAACTGATAGGAATTCCAAAAAATGAGAACTGAAAGAAAAGGGATAGGACATTAT